CAATTGGATGGTTACTCGGTTCCATGTGCTATCTGCTTTGGCTTTGACTACTTGGATTTCAGTGTGATTTTTGCATTCTGGATTTCTGTGCTTCGTCCATACTCATGTTCCTTGCAGTAGAGGACCGGATAGAGGGTATGTGGTCGATCCAGTGCGGCATTGTGTGGCAGTGGCACGACATGTTCATTCAACTTCATTGTGAACCTTTTGGGCCGAGAAAACAGGAGATAGGCACCAATAGATGGAGCCTTTTTTTTTTTTTTTTTTTTTGAACTGAGATAGGCCAGTTGGTAGCTTGCAGCTGCATCTCAAAAAAAAAAAAAAAGATGGAGCCTTCACCCTGGCGCTAGTAGTGTCTGCTCTCACCAGCGCTACTAGCACAGGAGGGAGTGTGTTTTACTTTTTAAATTGAAAAAAAATAGGCACCAAAAACCAAAGGAAATAGAGACTTCCTGCCTGGAGATCATGGAGCAATGCTTCCCAGCCATCAGATCACAAATGATCGAATGGCCGATGTCGCCACAACAGTGGAAAAATCAGTTTAAATAACTGCCACCTTTTCCACCAAGGAACCAGACTTGTTCTTCTTCGGAACCTCACCAGATGTTTCTTCTTCTTCTTCTTCTTCTTCTTCTTCTTCTAAAAAAAATAAATAAATAAATAAATAAATGAAGAAGAAGAAGAAGGAAAGAAGCCTTCTCTCAGCAGTGGTTGTGATGCCCTCCATACACCCGGTGATTGAAGGAGTGCTTCTACCAATTAGATTATTGCAGAAACAAACTGAAAATCTTCTAGCCCATGGGCTTATGCCTAAACCCAGCTTCGTTGGGCTTGGGCACAGACCCCCCCATGGGCTAGGGCAAATTTCGGCGGGAAGCTCCCTTTGCACCAACTAGCCCAGTGTTAAGCCGCCAGTACACGCCCCAGCCTTGCTGAAAAGAAAAACTGCTCGCCTACAAAAAATTCAGAGGTCCAGCACCGTAGATAAATTGAATTGGCGGCGGGCGGCCTCCCCAAAACTTCCAAAAGGGCCTGCCGCGGGCAATAGCTGGATGTACTGGTGGTTTAAGGAGAGGAGGTGGGGAACTACGACCACTTTCTTCTTTTATGGAAATGCGTGTAAAACACTGACCGTGGGATCACAAGTCATTGCAAGGCAGAGATTTGGGTCGCTCTACTGCCTCACAAATTATTCTTGATCCCGGCCCGTTCCTTATGGGACCTCCCTCCCTCCTGGACCCAACCTAAGTCTCACTAGCAGCGTTGAGTTTCCTCAACACCTGAATCTGGACGTGTTTGTGGACATGTGCAGTTGAGGGAAACGCAACTTTGGCACATCTCCTCAAACACATCCAGATTCAGGCGTTGAGGAAACTTAAAGCTGCTGCTACCTTCTTCCCCCAAGTACAACGTACTGCAAGGAAAATGAGTGATAGCGAATTCCAGAAACCAAGCAGCATTATACACACGAGACCAGATAGTCGTGACCTCAAACCAAAAGCAGAATTGCAACTCGAGTTCCACCAAATAAGAGCACAGCAAAACATCACAAGTGACAATGTTGGAATAGTCTCATCATCATCAACAAAGAACCAATGTTGATTTCCTATCTGGTGCTCTGCGCCCAGACTACAAATGGCAGATCCTATCTAGCCTATCTACAATGCCGCTGGCGACGTCAACAGCTCCCCGAAGTACGAGCAGACCTCGGCCAATGGCGTTCGCCTCAAGCACCAGGTATGTCTCTCGCATCACTCACAACCTCGATCCCCCACACAGATGCCACATGCACCCAAGGACCACCATGCGCCCCATCCAGCACCTCGCAGGCCAGCTCGGCTATGGCTGCCTGTGTATCCCTAACTCGCCCGTGAGCACGTGGGCACTTGCCCGCCAGTAGCGCAGCAACCAGCAAGTGCCCAAATGCCAAATGCAGGGGCAGGCTCTTTCCTATTTGGAAATGGCTGGCCTGGCTGTCCCGGGCCTCTGCCCAGAATCTTCCGGTAGGTCCCAAGTGGCTGAGCCCTGGTTCAAGGGAATCAGACGCAGGGCTTGGGGTGGTTACCCGTGTCCAACTGTCAGCGGCCTGTGCGCAGTCCATGCCCCGTGTCTAGCCCCGGGCCTGCCTCAGATACATTTGAGAAAGGATGGTAGGGCCTGGGTTCTCTCAACCAACCAGCGCTGCGCAACTGCCTGAATTGCCCAGTTGCATGGTAAGCCCAAAATAGGCCTCTCGTCCTTGGTCGAGCCTGCCTTCACTTAGGGCGGCCGACATTGTTGAAAACAGGGCCCAATAGGGCTCGTCGAGGCCTTGAGCCTCGCAGTACGGTTATTATCGCTGTATTTAGACGAAGTACAGCTATAGACCCTACGTTGTATTCGGGGGAAGAAGGTATCGACTCTACTAGTGAGACTGGGCCCCTGGGCTTGTTTGAAAAAAGAAAAAGGAAAAAGGGAAAATAGTATATATCCTGGGATGCTAGACCCAGTTTCCAGCACGTGCTGCTCCTCACCAATAGACCGGAGCCCATCTGCAGGCACCCTCCAACCGTCGAAGTGCTCGACGCTAGTAGCACCTCCACAGTTGGCGGCCTCCAACCTCATGGTAGTAGTGGACCACCAATTGATGTTTATAAAAAGGGAGAGTTTGTGATATATGATCATATACCTCAAGACTGCCGCCTTAAAAAAAAAAAAAAAAAAAAGAAAGAGAGTTTGTGAAATACCCCTGAAAGTTGAGGTACTTGGTAAAATAATCCGTTTAGGGAAATCAGGGGTATTATAGCATGTGGGAACTTTCAGGGGCTTTTCACAAATTTGCCCTGAAAAAAAAAGGGAAAATTTTTCAAAAAAGGAAAGGAAAAGAAAAGGGAAAGGTGGAAGAATGGTTTTAGCATTACTGAGCATTAAAAAAAAAAAAAAAAAAAAAAAAAAAAAAAAAAAAAAAAAAAAAAAAAAAGCATTACTGAGCGTTTGCTTGTGGCACTTTGTGGGGGTGTCAGCTACTGGCTTCTTAAAATAAATAAATTAATTAAAATTAAAATTAAAAAAGACGATCTGGTTCTGATGTACTGCTGGTTGTTTTTTTTTTTTTTTTTTCAACTGGTTTGGTTGTTGTCATTGTCGAAGCAGATGCCAGAGATGGACGGTTTTGACACAGCAAAGGGGATCCGTACGATGGAGTCGGATGCTCCAAAGACGTTGCAGAAACGTGTACCAATAATTGCATTGACGGGGGACCTAGAATCAGGAAAACGTTGTCTTGAGTGCGACATGGACGGGTACATTACAAAGCCAATTGACACAGAAAAAATAATGCAAATATTTCAATTTGTGATATCGAGTCTACTGACCAGGACGCATGTTAATCGATCATGATATTCGGTGTTTCCACTAACCCATTATTACGTTCTTTTAATCTCGGCAGCAAAATTCCCTACCTCCCCCATTCCCCCCCCCCCCCCCCCCCCCGCCGAGCACCCTCCCCCCCTTCCCCCCTTGCCAGTCCTCCCTCTTCCCCCTTGAAAGGGTCCTTTCAATGGCTTTCATGTCTTTCTTCATGCCTCCCCCCCCCCCCGCAAAGAGTATGTTGGAAGTTTTTCCTCATTGATATATATCAAATTGACAAATTGTCAATTAATATTTATTATTTTTATATATTAATGGTATGATAAATGTGTTAAGGATTTGCAGAAGCACAGCTGATTTCTGGGTTTTGCCGCCGGAATGTGTGCTTTGCCGAGATTCGGAGATTCCCACTTTTTGCCTGTGCGTGTGTGCGTGGTGTGCTTGCTGGTTCGTGTGCCTGCCTGGGTGCCGTTTTGGCTGAGTCTGTGTGTGGCCCGCCCGGGGACTTGTTTGTTTGGGAGGCTCGCGGGGCCCGCGGGGTCGGTACTTAGGCGGTGGCTGTGACTTTGAGGGTTGCAGCGGGGAATCACTCAGCAAGTGGCGGAAGGGGCAACTTCGGGGTACACTCAAGTAGCGGCGGTAGGCTAGGCGCGTAGTACTTGAGTAGCGATAGGCCAAGCAGAAGAAGACGAAAATGCTAAGTACCTTTAGAGGTCATGTGGATGTTAGAGAGTCCGGTAGGCCTAGGTCTAGGTACCGGTCCTGAAGTCTGCGTCTAGGGCCTGTGGCAGACGATATCAGACCTGCAAATGATGTTTCCCTCGGAAACGGAGGAGGTACCAGTTGCTTGAAGGCCCAGCGGCCTGGAAAGTCGCCGGCCGTGAGGCTGATTGGCCGCTATATCTCCAGGAGGGAGGAAGGAGCTCCTCCTCATTTGTGGTGTGCGAGTTTGGGCGTCATACTGCTGGAACGCCTGGTGGTAGAGTGCCCGTGCGCTGCGCTGGGGAGTGGAGCGCCAGGGCTTCCACCTCGGCTATGATGGATCATGCCTGGTAGGAGGAGGAAGAAGGGGACTGGGAAGGAGGGCAGCCAGAGGTATTCACCTGGATATGGTGGGCGCCATCTTCATCTCCTTGGTAGGCATGCAGCTTTCATGATTGCTGTGTTTTGCATGCTAGCCCCAGAAGGGGTTGCGCTGCATCAACAGGGCTTCAGGGCAGAGTCAGGCGTAGCGGCCCGAGGTGGAGAGGACATAGCTGTTTTTGCATTGTCTTTGGAACATGGGTGCAGGCCCCTAGTAGTCCGCCATAGCCATCACCTGTCCGAAGTGGATGGACGTGGCTATCATTGCCCTCATATTGTGCTGGCAGTATGAGAGGGATTCGGAAATTGGTTCTGGTTCAGTCATTCATTGTTATTATTATTATTGTTTATTGTTGAATAAGAGAGGGGGAGATAAGGAGGAGGAGATTGGTTGGCGAGAGAAGGGGGATTTGTCATTGGTCTTTTGATGGTGTACATCTTCTTCTTCTTCTTCTTCTTCCTCTTTCTTTCTTTCTTTCTTTCTTTCCTTCTTCTTCTTCTTCTTCTTCCTCCTCCTTTCTCTCTTTCTCCTCTCAAGTTCTTTCATCTCCTTTGCAATTGGACGGCATTGTCTTTCCTTGTGTATTTGCACTTCGGAATTGGCCAGGATCGTAACATTTGTATATTTTGTGAGACAGAACTGCCTACGGTAAACCGTAGGCAGAGAGGGAGGTAAACCGTAGGCAGAGAGGGAGGGAGGGAGAAGAGGACAACAAGCGAGGGGCGATGACAGACTGTTTCGTTGGAGTTTCGCTGACTCATCCGGATGCTGAACCCTCTACAGTCTGCAGAGTCCCCTAACTAATGGTACTGAGAGTGATAATCCTTGCCGATCCTATCTGCGGCCAGTGCCCGACGCGGTGGGAGCATATGCGCAGGAATAGGGCTGCCGTCGCAATTAGAAAAACAGAAAACGAAGGAATAAGTTCGCGTTGTCAGGTCTTCAGCCAACGCGGATGTGAGTGTGTGTGTGAGTGGGAGCTCAAGTATTCGAGATCACGGGAAGTGGTAAGGTCTTCAGCCAACGCGGGTGTGAGTGTGAGTTTTGACTGATGTTGACAGGCCGTTAACGGAGGCCCCAATTTTCAGACAGGCGGTTAACGGAGGCCCTAATTTTCAGACAACTTGTCATGCCATTTATAACAAAATCCAAGGGGGTCATTTTAACCAAGCTTGCCAACAAGTCATAGAGTAGAGACCATAGTGCCTAACTGCAAAAAAAAAAAAAAAAAAAAAAAAAAAAAAAA